TCCATTAAAAACACGTACACATATAACAGCAAAACCAGGGAGGAGGACTTATGAAGGGTATGCCAAACGAAACAAAAAAAGTCTACACCCCCCCTGGCAGAAGACACCAGCAGAAGGAGGCGGACAAAATGGGAGGGAACTCCAAATTGCTGATGCCACAACTGAGAAAGCTCTTTCTCAGGTTGCACTTGTCTAGCCTCAGATGGTAAGGACAATGGAAGCAGGCCCTCCAAAGGTGACTGGAGTGAACAAGTAGGTTGGGGGGGGAGGCCCCTATGTATGTTGGCCCCAAGCCATATATGGCTTTAAAGGTCAATATCAGCACCTTTATTTAAGCCTTAAGCAATTTGGGAGCCAGTGTAGATGGAACCATACTGGAATGATATGGTCCCTACAACCCACTCAGCTCAAGACTCTGGTTGCCACATTCTGTACCAACTATGGCTTCCAGTGTTTAAGGGCAGCCACATGTAGAGCACATTGCTATAATCTAATCTAGATGTTATTACTAGGGCATGCACTACGGTGCCAAGAACTTCCCTGCCAAAGCTGGTGAGAGGCACCCCTGACCACCGCTGCCACCTGTTTATCCAACAGGAGGGCTGGGTCCAGGAGCACCCCTGAGCTACAAAACTGTTTGTTTAGGGGGTATGCAACCCCTCCAAGAACAGGAAATAACCCATTTCCTGTGTCAGATCTTCTCTCCCCCAGTAGCTCCTCCATTTTGTCCAGACTAAGTTTCAGATTGTTAGCCTACATTCATTTCAAAACCTTGCTCAAGAATGCAGACATCAAATGAACTAACTCATTCTTCAGAACCTGATTTTCTTTTGCAAGTTTGGGCATTGAGAGACTGTCAGGGTACAGAAGCAGTTTTGCTTTATCATTACAAAATATGTACAGGATTCCAGGAAGCTCATTTTTCAATGCATAATTAATGTCTTTCTTGGTTGAATCTTTTAGAGTGAACTGACAGGTCTCTGCCATGGTGCCCACTGACACTTTACTTGGTGCCAACCAAGTGTTTTCAGAAAGTGGAGAGAGCCAGGTGGAGCTGTTGCCCGGCACAGCTTCTGATAGACCATTGAAGATGAGAATGGCTATGCAGATTAAAATAATGTTCCTTTGGCAGCAGCTGCCACCACAGTGTTGGTTTTATACTTTCTCTCATTCCTCTTTCCCAATGTATTCTTAAAAATTACCCCTCTTCATTTGGGTACATGTATGGCTTTGCCTCAGGCAGCAGCCATTTTGTCATTGTCTCCACCTCCCACAGCAGCCGTTTTATCATAACACCCAGCATCCTGTGTCAGAATTCCAAAGGTGCCCACAGGCTCAAAAAGCTGGGAGACCCTGTATTAAGGTGTTTCTTTACATTTTCCTATTAGCCAGTTACATTGGATAAAAATCACATAAAATATGGATCCATTCTCATATGGCTAACTGTGACATATCAAAATGGATGTCTTCATGTTGTGGCTCATTAGAAAGGCAAAGAAGAAGAAGAAGAGTTGGATTTATACCCTGCCCTTCAGTCGGAGCGGCTTACAATCTCCCCAGGCCTGTAGGGGGCATTTAAATTGGGGGGGGGGTAATTTTTTTTGAATTTTGAAATGTTTATTAAGATCAAGTATAACATATCAAAACATACAATAACTGCAAAACATTATGCAGAAGTCTTTAGAATCCGAAATTACAAACCAATCGGTTAGTCACCAACAAAACATTAACATACATCTACAGTTAAAACATAATAAGACGGTATCAATTCCGTTCACCTATACAAAAGTGCTGTTTAAACCATAAATTCCAATGAATTGAGTCAAGTCTGTTGCTCTGATATACAAGAGGAGTCTGGGCAGTAAGGTGAAGGTCAAGGTGAAATCAGAAGTGGAGCCATGTGTGGTAGTTCGTCCTAGAGGGAAGCACGTTATGCTCTGGGGGGGCATAATTTTTTAAAGAACCCTTTCCTGGGTGCCAGTGAATAGAAGTGGACTTACTTCCGAGTAGGCCAAGTAGAAATGTAAGTAGGTATAGTGTGAGGTGAAGGGAGGGAGCGGGGACTAAACTTCCCCATTTATGGAAAGTGAAACCTGTTTTTCTCTAAGTTGCTGCCCTGAACTCCAAAAGAGAGGGGAACGTATGAGGAAGGAGCCGAGCAGGAAGATGCGGTGCTCTGATCCCCCAAGCTGCAGCCTGATGCCGCCACTGCTTCTGCTGCTCTTTTGGGCACAGAGCACCACAGCACTGAGGGACAGTTGGCACCGCTGCAGCAGGGTGCTTCGTGATCTGCAGGGAGGGCGGGCAGTGCTGGTTGCCTCTCTTTTGCTTGCCTCTTGCCGGCTGGCAAAGCAAGCAAGCCCCACCTCCAGTCCCACACTGCTAATATTGTTAGATTAGCAGTGTGGGACTGGAGGTGGGGCTCAGCTTTCCTTGCTGAAGAGATACAGAGAGCTTCGGGGGGGGGGGGGGCATGAGGCTTGCCCCTGGCAGTGGCAAGCATGGGAAATAAGTTGAGGGGCCTGAACAGGGTGGTAAATTGTGAGGCCCTAGTAGGCCCCAAAATGCTTCACTGTAGCTACAGGCCTAAATTTCCCCTTCCTCTCCCCACAACAGACACCCTGTGAGGTAGGTGGGTCTGAGAGAGCTGCTCTTGAGAGAACAGCTCTGAGAGAACTCTAACTGACCCAAGGTCACCCATCTGGCTGCATGTGGAGAAGTGGGGAATCAAACCTGGTTCTCCAGATTAGAGTCTGCTGCTCTTAACCATGACACCAAAGAAATAAGCTACAATTGTCTAGTATACTATAAGAAACTATGTTGATTAGGTAAAGCATCATATGCAGTCAACTGTATAAAGATGTGGGGGAAATAGACTTTTCCCTTGATTTATGCCTTATATAACAGGTGTCAAACATACGGCCCGCGGGCCAGATATGGCCCCTGCAGGGCTCATATCTGGCCTGTGAGCAACTGGCTCTCTCCTGCTTCCTTGTCTAGGGCTGCTGCTGCATCACAGCTCACTTTTGCCCAGCTCCCTCTGCTGTTTCCTGCTTCCTTCCAAGCCTCTTTCCTGCTTTCTTCCAAGCCTCCCTTCCCTTCTTTGGCTGAGGGCTGCTCCTTTGGAAGGAAAGGAGCCGGCAAAGAGGGAGAGAGAGCCCCACCCAGGAGAGAGAGCAAAGTCTGAGTCCCATGGCTCCTTTAAGACTAGCAACATTTTATTTCAGGAATAAACTTTTGTATACTTCTTCAGAGGAAGGGAGGGAGGGGAGAGAGGAAGGGAGGGGGGATGGATAGGTGGATTCTTCCCTCAAGCACAATTTACATTGAAATCATTGTACTCTGCTGTTTTCTTTTAACCTTGATATCCCTCAGGCTCTCACACATACACACATGCACAGGGTGTGTGTGTGTGTGTGTGTGTGTGTGTGTGTGTGTGTTAAAAGGAAGGGGTAGGTTGAGATAAGGGGAAAGGGGAAAGGAGAAAGAAAAGGAGGAGGAGATTGGATTTATACCCTGCCCTTCACTCGGAGTCTCAGAGTGTCTTACAAACTCCTTTTCCTTCCCCTCCCCACAACAGACACCCTGTGAGGTAGGAGGGACTGAGAGAGCTCTTTCAAGGACAGCTCTGACAGAACTATGGCTTGCCCAAGGTCATCCAGCAGCTGCAAGTGGAGGGGTGGGGAATCAAACCCGGTTCTCCCAGATTAGAGTCTGCACATGTAACCACTACACCACACTGGCTTTAAAAGAAAATTATTTTTAAAGGAAATTATTTTGGTTTATTCTGAAAAGTTTTTTTTTTTATTTTCGATTAGATTTATCTGTGCCCATCTGGGATTTTGTTTTCTTTCGAAAAGACCCTGATTAGGAATTAGAACCCTTGGATTGGCCTTAATTGTTTAATAATCCAATTCCATTGGATTCCATTGTTTACTAATGGAAGTAGCTGGCTAAGTATTTAAAATACATTTATGATTCCATATATTCTAGTTCAACATGTCTCCCTTTTCCCTCACTGGCTGCCTTTCCTCACTCCCCGTTTACTTTTTCAACTGTTCCATTATCATCACCAACACTTGAGTATATTTTGCCCAGTCTGAAATCAACACATTATTTCAATTGGAGAGATCCCCCTCTCTAGTTTAAGCAGATGAAGAAGAAAAAAGAAACCTAACAGGTCAGCTTGCAAGCTTTATTAGTGGAAAGGAACAAGAGCCGAGTAGCACCTAACAAAATTTGTGGCAGGGCATGAAGTTTTCTGAGTCACTGCTTGCTTCTTCAGATACAGCTAAAACATGAGTCCACTGGTCCTTATATCTTGGAGAGTGGAGTGATTTCAGATGCCAAATGACAATAGCATGCATTGGTAATGAGACAGGGAACTTAGATCTACATGAAGTAACCAGTATCGTGTATGGCTTGGTCCTAAGTCACAGGTTCATGGGAAAATCAGGCATGGTAGGCATACATCCTGCTAAAAATTCACGTACACTCCTGAATTCCAAGGTTCCATTTTTTCTTCCGAATGTCTCATTAGAGTTTCTCACAGACCTGTATTAATTGTAAAGTTGTAAATGCTCTGGGTTTTTATGTGCTTTGTGCTTCTTGATTTTTTAGTACTTTTGTTGGCTGGCTTTTCAGGGTTGCTCATTTTAAATGATGTTTATGTTTCGTATGATTTCATCTTGCTTTATTCTGTGAGCCACCTCAAGCAGGTCTCTGAAGAGATACCATGCAACTGTTTTAAACACATAAACAAAGCCTACAGCCTGGATGTGCCTGCGTTCAAAAATAATTTCCAATTGTAAGGGACCTGCAGGAGCAGGGCTTGCCAGAGACTTTGAGAGCTGGATTCTAGACTTCAGTTGCATAAATTGTCCTGACTCAGTATAAGGCAGCTTTTCAAATATATCTGAACCATCTGGTGAATGAGCCTAAGTACCACTCAAGAGAAGATCTAGCTGTTTGTAAAGATTTTTGTTACATTTCCTTTTTAGATATAAACGAATGTGACACCGGCAACCCATGTGCACAACTGTGCTACAATATCATCGGCTCCTTCCTCTGTCAGTGCAATCAGGGCTTTGAGTTAAGCCCTGACAGAATCAACTGTGACGGTGAGCTTCTGTTTTCTAGATCGGTGATTTGCAAAGGATGTGGGAGGTGGGGGGAAGGGAAGCGGGGAGCCACTTCAGTTGAGCTTGCACAGTGCTGGTGATACGAAGCCAAAGACACTCTAAGTTGTTCTTGATCTTTCATCCGAAGCCAAGGTTTTAAAGGGGGCTTTTATTAGCAAGTTCCCTAGCAGCTATATTTACTGCCTTCTGATCCAGCCAAAGTTAAACACTTTGAAGTCCTGTTGATTTTATTGGAAGAATTAAGCACATGCTGCAGCTGTCCGCCTCACACCAAAAGCTCCCAGCTATCTGGATTGATTTGAAAATGGTTGATAGTGGCTTGGCGGTTTTAATGGGTGTTGTTTCATTATTTGTGTTGCTCCTCTGATGTTGGCTAATATTTATGGTTTTATTGTGTTGACTACTGGTAGTTTTTATGATTTGGTTTTCAGTATTGTGAGCTACATGTTGTGGGTTTCTGCATGGCCTGTATTACCAGATTTATGTTGCTTTTTATTTCCTGTTTTACTATGCTTTTTTGTTTTGGTGTGTTTGTTTGCTTGGTGCTATTTTAGGGCTGTTATTATATTGTTTTGTGTAAGCGCTTCATTAGTATTTAGCTGAGCGTGGAGCAGAAATGCCTTGAACAGATAAATAAAGTTATATCCATTTGAAGCCAATGTATCCTTCACTTTGCAATTAATTGAGGGCACTTTGTGGAGGGCCCATTGTTCAATCAACAGAACGTGTTTGGCATGTACAAGGTTCAGTTGCTAGCATCTCCACTTAAAGAATCTCCTGTGTCGAGGCTACAAAGGACATTTTGCTGTAGGCCCTGAGTCTGAATGTGTTTTGTTCTAGCACTGAACGGTTGTTTTATTTTTGCCATCAGTTCAAACTGTGTCACTATTTTGCAGATGTTGATGAATGCAGAATGTCCACCTTTAGGTGCCAATATCAGTGTGTCAATGAACCCGGGAGGTACTCCTGTGTGTGCCCAGATGGGTACCAGTTGGTCAGAGGGATAAATTGTCAAGGTGAGCATACTTCTCTTAAGACTTTTATGTCTGCAAGATTAACAGGAATGTGTAAACCATAAAAAGCATAGATAACTAAAGTACTTAGTTGTCACAAGGGCATCTCTGTATGGTACAAATCTGATTAATGCAAAAAGAGTTCGGTGGTCTTAAGCCAGGGAAAATAGGTAGGTAAAAGAGGGCTGATTTAACTTTTCTTCCCTTCACCAGTTCTCCCCCACAGCCTCTCTGCTACCTTGGTTTATGTCCAATCTCAGAGCCAGCTGGACTGAAAAGGCCAGGGGGAAGGGTTGCACATGATAATCTGCAGTTGGTGGAAGGGTTATGCACTCCAGTCTTGCCTGCCAATTAATTCTGCACTAAGCTTCTGAATCCCAGAGCCAGGAGGCAGCATCAGGGGAAAGCCTCAGCCTCTGTGCCCTATTGTTGGCCATCCAGAGGAACTGTGTGAAACAGGATGCCGGGCTAGATGGACCATTAGTCTGATCCAGCAGGGCTTTTCTTATGTTCTTATGTCCAGCCCCTATATTATGGTTAGCAGGCAAAACCAAGGTGGGGAAGTCTTGGTCTTCCCTGAATATGTAAACTGACTATGGCCCTTTCTGCACTCTCCTTTTGATCCATGTTCACCGTGGTGTCCTCCAAGTAATTCTGCATTAAAATTGAATTCAACCTTCTTTTTATTCCGGGTTTTTTCTCCATTCTGCATTACATTACCTCCCTTCAGTGGTCAGCCCAGTCTCAGCCTGCTGTTACCCCCGGGTTATTTGGATGCTGTTTTGCCCTGGACTCAATTTGCCTCGGCTTGAACACTGAGAAAATCCAGAGTGGCAGGCAAATGCGGAAAAGACCTATACTGAATATTATTGTGTTTTGAGGTGATACTTGGAGCTATCTGCAGAGTTAGATCTGTGATGGTCCATTCACACATACCAGTCCTCTAAGAGGCAAATATGCTTGTGCAAAGTAGCCCTTAGTGTGTACTTTAATGGTTCATTTAATGAAGTCCTGTTGATGAAACGTTTTGTCATCTCTTCTTCACTTACTGCGTTTGGAAACTTGCTTGTGTTGTTTCATTTCTTTTCTAATTTAGATATAAATGAATGTGAAGTGGGTAATGAATGCCGGGAGGATGAAATGTGTTGGAATTACTATGGTGGGTATCGCTGTTATCCAAGGAATCCTTGTCAAGAGCCTTACGTCCTTGCGTCAGAAAAGTAAGGGAAACTACTCTAGCAACCCCTTAACAAGCATTGTTTTCAAAATTAAAAACTAACGGTCTGCACATGGATGGAGTTCGTTTTTCAGTCATTGTGGTTTCTTTTACAGTCGCTGTGTCTGTCCAGTATCCAGTGCCCTTTGTCGAGACCTGCCATATTCCATTGTACACAAATATATGAGCATCCGCTCAGATAGATCCGTGCCATCTGATATCTTCCAAATCCAGGCAACCACCATTTTCCCCAATACTATTAATACATTTCGGATCAAGTCCGGAAATGAGAATGGAGACTTCTTTTTGAGAGTGAGTATTTTGAGTGTGCTCCTAAGGTTACTTTTGAGTTCAGGCTTGGTGCTCTGGAGGCAATGGGGAAGTCATGTAGACATGGGGAGTTCACAAGCAATTCCATTCCCGAATGACTTGTCGCTTAAGACTGAGATGCTAGGCCAATGTCAGCAGTTTCATGGATGTAGGGGAAACCCTATTGGCTCCTTGTGTCACCTGATTCCTGCTTCTGAACTGGTAGTTACAGTACTACCTTGTAGCCATCTACATGGGTGGCACAGCAGAGCCCATAGTTCAGACTGGCTGCTTCTGCATCTGGCAATCTGCCACCGTGACACAGGTAGTGAGGCATCTGAATCCTTACTTAAGGTTTTTAAGCACTCTCCAATCTAGGCAATCTGCAGGCTCAGAGAAGGTAAGTTTCAACAATACGCTTGTGTCATATGCCATTCTCTGGGATCTACATTGCAGGGTAAAGATTGGGACATAAACTTTGTGTTTATTGGGATCGTTTTTGAATTTAATATTTATTTATTTAATTTATACTCCACTTTTCTCCACAACATTTTCTCCTTTTCCATTTTATCCTTGTCCTGCACTCTAAATAATTACACATTTGTGTAGGAGTTTTTCATGTTTTCCTCAAGTAGAAGAAGGGGTGTATATTTATCTAAACATAAATGGAGGGCACAGGCAAGGGGAACCTGACATTTTTCTCAGATTTAATCTACATGTTCAGAAGGAAACACATGATATCCCCTCTAGCATGTGTTTGGTTTGGTTTGGAGAGCCAGTTTGGTGTAGTGGTTAAGTGTGCGGACTCTAATCTGGGAGAACCGGGTTTGATTCCCCACTCCTCCACTTGCACCTGCTGATGTGATCTTGGGTCAGTCGCAAGCTCTGGCACAGCTGTCCTTGAAAAAGAGCAGTTTCTGTCAGAGCTCTCTCAGCCCCACCCACCTCACAGGGTGTCTGTTGTGTGGGGAGGGGAAGGGAAAGGAGTTTGTAAGCCGCTCTGAGACTCCAAGTGAAGGGCGGGGTATAAATCCAATCTCCTCTCCTCCTCCTCCTCCACCTCCTCCTCCTCCTCCAAGGTGGTACTATTTTAGAAAGCTGGAGGGAGACCACATGGTTGAATCCTTCTCCCCTTTAAGAATTCCCTACTTTTAAGAAAACCAGTATGTGCTAGAGCCTGTCTCCTTTCTACAGGTGGGGAGTATTTATGCATGGATATTTCCAGCATGCTAGCAATTTGACAAATTCTTCAAGATGTACCTCTTTCATAATCTACAGTAACAGAACACAGGCATGCTACTAAATGGCTCAGAAGAGAAATGTTGCATATTTCTAGCTGAAGACTTTTTGAATTTTTGTTTTTCAGCAAACAAGCCCAGTGAGTGCAATGCTTGTATTGGTAAAGCCATTATCAGGACCGCGAGAACATATCATCGACCTGGAGATGCTGACAGTCAACAATATGAATTATCGGTCAAGTTCAGTCTTGAGGTTAACGCTAATTGTAGGACCATATTCGTTTTAGGCACTGCAACTCAGTCCTTCGCCCACACCCAGAGCAGCCAAAGAATTATCCTCTTAAAATGAAGCACTTATGACTTTATTTATAGATTTTATGTTTGTTTTGGGGGGGGTTTAAGGAAAAAACTTTATTAAGGAAATCAGTACTTGTAATCATGCTTTTGCTCGTATAGTTTAGAAGTAGTATATGTGTTTCATAATATAACCTGGGCATTGCCACTTTTTTGTATAAAGATTGCATTTCCTCCTCCCTGTATAATGATACCTATATCAGGCACCTACCTGTAACAAAATATCTTTGCTTCTATGATTTTATAATATGTGATCCTTTTCCTAGAATAGTAGGTTATTACTGTCAAAAAGAGAGCTTCTGTGATTTTAAAAAAACTTTTTAAAAACTAGTACTCTTCCACTGTAAGATTCAGGGTGTTAGATTTGTTCTAAATACAACACTGCCTTTCTAATGAACATGAGAGCCTACCTGTAAGGGCGGCTTCATTTATTTCAAAAGAGGAAGCTGGTCCGTGTGTCCATTCTTTGGCTGCACCGTGGAACCATACAAGACATTCACACATACACTGAAATGCCCTGAGGATTGAGGGACATGAATAAGTCCTACAGAGATGGAAATCAAAGGGGATTAAAATGTGCTTTATTATTGGCTTCATCAGGTTTCTAGATTTCCTGCCTCCCTTTCCCCCCTCTATATAACTATATGGAGTCATGGTGATTTTTAGTGGCTGATATCCCCAGGAGTCACCAGAAGTAAATTTAGCAAGCCCGCACACCATTGTTCTTTCCAAGAGAACCTTCCATGGTTCAGGGTCAGGTGGGTAGCCGTGTTGGCCTGCAGTCGAAGAGCAAGATTCAAGTCCAGTAGCTCCTTAAAGACCTAACAAAAATCCCAGGGTATAAGCAGTCAAGAGTGAAAGCTCCCTTGATTAGAGAGCTCTGACCCCCCAAAGCTTATACCCTGGAAATCTTGCTGGTGTTTAATGTGCTTTTGGACTCGAATCTTGATCCCATAGTTCAGTGGCACAAGGTCCCAGGTTTAGTTGAGTTTTAAAGGGATTTCAGAAATCAGAATTGGGAAGAGCCCTGCCATAATACTAGGCTAGGTGGATCAGTGGTCTGACTCAATATGGCAACTTAATATTTTCATTTATGGCGGAACATATATTCACCATTCACTGTTGGGGTGGGGAGCCAAGCACTGCACATGAGGGGATGGGGAGGGCAAACTGTACTCCTGAAGCCGGGGGGGGAGGAGGATTCTCAGGGCAGTGCTCCCCTCCAGCCACCCTTGCAATATATAATCCCTCCTTACATACCTCTCCACCCTGCCCGCTTGCCTCACTGAAGGGCATTTTGCTCATATGCAGGGGTCATTTGGGGGGGGACGCGGGGGGACGCCATCCCCCCGAGTGAGGTGCGGGAGGGCGGGGCCTGGAGCTCCCTGCTGGTGCCCGCTGGAGGTCGCCGCCGGCTGTGGGGAGGACACACTTCCGGTGATGTCAGGGGGTGTGGCATATGCTAATGAGTTATGCTAATGAGTCCCCCTAGCTCTTTTTCTACGAAATGACCCCTGCTCATATGTAATACATTTGTGTGTGTTCCTCCTTTTTAACTGTTTTATAAGAAAGGTAGTTTCAGAGAGTAGCCATGTTGGTCTGCAGAAGAGCAGCTAGATTCAAATCTGTTAACACCTTAGAGACCAACAAGAGTTGGGGGGGTATCAGCTTTTGAAGGGAGCCTTGACTCTCGAAAACTCAGACCCCGAAAATCTTGTTGGTCTCTAAGGTGCTAATGGACTTGAATCTAACTGTTCTTATAAGGAAGGGTGGTGGTCGGTTTTTTTTAAAAAAAATCAGTTTCGTAGACATCTATTTGCTCTTGTACTGGGTTTTTTAAAGCGTAATTTAGGATTAATGAACATCATAAAGAGAGAATGGTTTGTGCTGGGCGTTTCCTGAGCTGTAGATACTGGACAGATCTTTTCTATTTAAACATACCACTCATTAACATTTTATCTTTTCCGAGAAAAATGGGACATAAGGAGAAAGCTTTGCCAACAATGAGTGAAGCTCCCAGTGGAAAACATCATTCTGAGAAATATTTCTGTATGAGTATTGTTGCTTGTTTCAGCGAACAATCTTCCTAGTTCTTGAGCACAGGAAAAATAGTATATATTTGTATACTAAGATGCCACAATCTAAAAAACAGCTGCATGTAAGTTGTTCTTTTAAAAAATTAATTTGGCTTAGGTTGGAGTATTTTCAGAATATGGGATCCAAGGGCTGGCTTCCATTTTTTAAGCTTTCCACAATATGGCATTGACTTATTCATCCTATGTATGTTTTATAACTCAGATTTGCAATTCTAATGTACAGTGTTCATAAAATTCACAGTAGAACTTGGAATGAATGACATCCTCTTGTAATATGTAAAGCCTTCTCATTTCTTTTCCAAGGCATAATATAGAACTCTTTGATGTAAAAAATTTTAAACAAATAAATAGACCTACCTTTTAATGGACTAGTTTCATCTTGCAACTTATTTTATATGTATTATTTGTTTGCAGAATTTCTGTACTACTTAGAAGGCAACGCTGCTCTCAAAACAGTTTAACATTTAAAACAAGATCACATAAAACCTGTAAAATACAAAAACAAACTTAAATGATTCCTTCTTTGTCACCATTGGAGTTGGTCCATCTAGCATTTTGTTCTCTGTAGTCTGACAACCTATTATACTTCTTCCATTTAAATTTGCTGTTTCTGAGGTATTTTCCTCTCAGACTTGGTCTTTGTGATCGCTGAGAGAGAGAGAGAGAGAGAGAAAGGAGAAAAGGGCAAAAGAGAGAGAGCTGAACAGGCTTTAGAGTTTAACTGCCTCATCTGATCCTTCCACAATCTCCACTATTCCATGCCTATTGAGATGCCTCAGAAAGCCCTCTTCAAGGAATGTGCCCATTGTGGCACCAAAATGGCCCACACTAATGAGCATCAATACTATCTGTTGTGTTTGAGCAAGGAACATAACATTGTCTTATGTAAGGCATGTCAACAATTCACACCAAAGGCACAGAGCAGCAAAGCTTCTAGGCTCTCATCCACCAGTACTCCATCAAAATCTCCTACTGTGACTGAATACCTTTCAAGACCACAGTCTTCACTGTCTGTTCCATTGATTCAGAGATCCAAACCCCAACAGCACCATTCTCAGTCCCCAACATTGTTGGTTTTGAGGAGGGCATCAGAACCACCAGTAAAGAAAGCTAAGGCCAAAATTAAACATAGAGGGGGGGGAACCCAAGTCAGATCCAAAGTGCCATTGCTCTCATTCCATTACAAAGCCAAAATTGGTTTGTGACGTGGAGGAGGTACTTGTTACACCACCTGAGATGCAGTCACTTCATTCTGTCTCTCCAACCTACTTGGTTTCAGAAGGGGAAGTTTTATTTGTTTGTTTGTTTGTTATTTCAATTTATATTCTGCCCTTCCCACAAACAGGCACAGGGCAGGTCACAGCAATAAATTCCAATACAATCTTAAAATGATCAGTTAAATAGATATTAAACATTAAATGAATACAATAAAACCAGTTAAAAACAGTTAGGCCGAGTTCAGACTGGCAGTTTGCCCCAATATAGGTGTGTGTGAGGAACGTTTCACAAGCAGATTAAAGGGGCCGTTCACACAGGCACATCTTTCCGGCATTCCCCACCCGTACTCAACCCGTCTTGTAGCGCTTGCCTCCCGGGTTTAAAAGATACCTGGTGAAAGTGGTAGCAAACCCTGGAGAGCCCGTTTATCCCGCTTCATTCCACTTCCCAGAAGTGTGAACGCTAACCGCTAAAAGCCGGGAACAGCCCGCGCTAATAATGTGTGCCGGCTGTTTACGCTGACTGACCTCCTAGCCTCACTCTGGCACCAGGAAGATCCAGGTGATTGCCTTGAAGAGGGGGTAGTGATGTTGCCGGACGTGCCTATGGCCCACAGCGGCCGGATCCTGTCCTATTTGCCACTGTGCCTAGGCACCTATGTGCCTAGGCGTCTGCCGTGAGGCAAATGCCGCTTACAGCCGCTCCTCCAGGCCAACAGTGTGAACACTCCCTTGCACCTCTTCCTGGTATGCTCCCGCATCAGTCCACGCATTGTGACCGGGAAAACCCGGAACAGTTTGTTCCAGCTCTTTTTTGCAATGACTCACTCCTGCTTCAAACTGCCAGTCGGCCTTAAAGTGAACTTGGCCTTAAAGTGGGCAGTGCAGCAAATTTCAATTTTCAGTTCCTACAGCTGGAAAGAGTGGGCCAGAGCTGAGCCATAAAGGTCTCATTAATAGCAGCATACCGCAACAGGGAGGCCAGCTGGTAGATGCCTGCTGCCTCAACCAAAGGCCTGGTGGAACAGCTCAGTTGAATTTGAACGTAGCTCCTGTCGAATTGAAAACTTCAAGGTCAGATCCATCTGCACTGGTTCCATGGCCCCTGGCTTTCCCACCTGTACCCTTGCAGCCATACCCTATATTACATATCTCCAGCTTATTTCCCAGAATGCGGAGAGTATTATGGCTTCATGTCTTGGTCAGATCCAGGTTTTCATAAGTATTCATGTATTCGAACATCTTCTGCATCAGCTACCACCCCTGCTCCTAGACAGGTAACTGGCACTGATCACACTGTTGAATCCAAAGAGAAAGAGAACATTATTGTTGGTTCTGAGCACAGCTCGGAGGCCCCTTCAGACCCTTCACCAGATAAGAGTTGGAAATGTGACACCTATCTCTCCAAATGAAGATGTGAAGCTCTTTGCAGAACAAATGCTTAGGATGGCACAATCCTTGGATATAGGTGTCAATACCATTAACCAAGGAGCTGTGGTGGCTCAGAGGTTAAGATGCTGAACTGCAGGCTGGAAGGTCGGTAGTTCAGCATTTCGAGACCCGAGTGCCGCATGACGGAGTGTGCTCCCATCTCTGGTTCCAGCTCCTGCCAACCTAGCAGTTTGAAAGCAAGAAATTGCAAGTAGATAAATAGGTACCGCTTCGGTGGGAAGGTAACAGCCTTCCGTGAGCCTTGGCGTCTAGTCATGCCGGCCACATGACCATGGAAGCATCTTGGGACAGCACTGGCTCTTTGGCTTGGAAACAGAGATGAGCACCAGATTCGACTGGCTTTCGAGCAAGGGTAACCTTTACCTTTACCATTAACCAAAGGCCCAAAGAAAAAAAATTTAGTCGCCTTTACTCAGATTGACCAGGAGCTGTGGCTTTTTCCATTCTGGAGGGCTTTATGGATATTACAAATGAGATCTGGAGTAAACTGGCATCCGTTCACACCACATATCCCCTCCATCATCCCTAGTGATGGAAATGCAACCGAGGTGTCATCAAGCTTCCCGTGCGGCCCCAGTGGACAAAGAAGGCAGAAATTGGACTCTATAGGCCACAAGACCTATTCTTCTGCAGTACTCAGTTTACTAATTTCATATTACCAGGGTATTGTGGCTAGTTAACAACTGTTTTTGTGGAAGAAATTATCTCCCTATCGAGCATCTGACAGAGAATAAGAGGCCGTTGGCCAAGATTTTGCAGCCTGAGGCAGTGTGATTATTGAAACAGCAAATTAATGCCGGGTGCCATGCTGCAGACTCATCTGTCAGGACGGTAGCTTCCTCCATTGTCTTGTGATGCTATATGTGGTTGAGGCCCATAGCCCTCCCTACTGAGAGAAGGCATAAGTTGAAAGGCCTTCGCTTTGACGGTTTCACATTTTTCTCAGAGAAAACTGTCATAAGAACATAAGAACATAAGAGACGCCAATGTTGGATCAGGCCAAAGGCCCATCCAGTCCAACACTCTGTGTCACACAGTGGCCAGAAATACCAGTGCCATCAGGAGGTCCAGCAGTGGGGCCAGGACATTAGAAGCCCTCCCACTGTTGACCCCCCCCCCAAGCACCAAGAAGACAGAGCATCACTTGCCCCAGAGCCCCTAGCTATACCTTGTGGCTAATAGCCACTGATGGACCTCTGCTCCATATGCTTATCTAATTCCCTTTTGAAGCCGTCCATGCTTGTAGCACCCACCACTTCCTGTGGCAGTGAATTCCATGTGTTAATCACTCTTTGGGTGAAGAAGTACTTCCTTTTATCCGTTCTAACCCGACCGCTCTGCAGTTTCATGGAGTGCCCACGAGTTCTTGTATTGTGAGAAAGGGAGAAAAGTACCTCTTTCTTTACCTGCTCTTTCCCATGCATAATCTTATAAACCTCGATCATGTCACCCCTCAGTCGTCTTTTCTCCAAGCTAAAGAGCCCTAAGCGCTTTAACCTTTCCTCATAGGGAAAGTGTTCCAACCCTTTTATCATTCGAGTTGCCCTTTTCTGCACTTTTTCCAAAGCTATAATATCCTTTTT